TGAAATTTGAGGAGCTCCCCCACCTCTCTCGACACCCCAAGGACCTGCCTATGGTCTTACTGTTGGAGCTACCTCCTTCACTTTCAGCGCTGCTACTTTTCTCAGAAATAAATATATTTTTATTGTTTTATAAAAATAACAATGCTCATTGTAAAAATACCAAAATCCAATACGATCACATCTTAAAATGTCAATCCTTCCCTAGCAGTGGGTGGGTGAGTGGGCCCCTCCCAAACAGGCTGGTGCAGAAGTCAGGATCCCAGGCACTAGAGTTGGGGCACAGACAGGGGGCTGGAGAAGGAAGTGGGGTGCAGAGGCTTTCTGCCAACTCAGACAAAGAAACTACTCCCTGAGTAGTTTCTGTGAGGATTATTCCTCTCTGCTCATCCCAAGCTCCCAGCTCTCTTTAGCTGCAAAAGAACTCCCATTCCTGCATGATGGCTGAGCAGAATGGCAGGCCTGGAGACTGGATTTTTTGGGAGGAGGGCAAGTGCTGCGGAGGATTTCCCAGGGACCTTAAGGTGGGCCCCAAAACTAGAGAAGAGAGAGGAGGGCAAGAGACCCAAAAAGAAAGTTGTCAGAGCAGAGCTGAGGAACCCAGGCTGCCTGAGCCTCTGGGGCTCTGGGCCTGAAATGGCTGGGGGGATGCGCTAGCTGAGAGAGGCAACGGGGTGGTAGAGGCAGAGAGGGTCAAAGGGGAGGGCAGGAAAGACGCAGGGGGAGCCCCCGAAGGTACCGCATGACTGCGCACCGCGGGAGAGAGGCCAGGCCCCAGCCTCAGCTAGAGGGAAGCGCACCCTAAGTAGCCAGACTGAGCAGGACAGAGTGCAGGCCTGGAGAGCCGGCCTGGTGCACCAGCCAGAGCATCCCGAAGGATACGAAAGTAGACAGAATGCTGGACACAGGTTCTGAGCACCTGAGCCGGATACTGAAGGCTCTTCCAGAACTGCAGAGCGCTGGCAGTAAAGGACAGAACGGCTTCGCAGAGAGGTACTGGGTAGTGTCTGGGGAACCTGGCCTACGAATTCCACGCGCCCACATACATCCCTTCGCTCCCCTAGCAGCCAGCACAGGCCTCACATTGCCGACCCTAGAGAGGGCTGCTGTGGGTCGTGGTGTTGGGGGTAGGGGGCAGGGGAGTGTATTTATCCACAGGCACCGGGGATCCAGTTCTTAGCGCCACGAAGGCTCGGGAGGTCCGTCCCTCCTGCTGAGCGGCCAAAAGGCGAGAAGGTGTGTGGTGCAGGGCTGGAGGGTCCACAGGGAATGACCGGAACAGGCCCGCGCCCCGAAAAGGCGGCAGGAATTGGAGGGTGGCAGAGGATGCTGAGCAAGGCTGAATCCAGAGAGGATGGCCTCTCTCCCCGACTCCAGCCGGGCTTTGGAGAAGCCCCAGGGGATCCCAGTTCTAAAGGGTCTCTAAGGGGAGCTGGGAGCAGGAGTGCCCCTCCCTGCCAACGGTCTTCCCATTTCTCCCACTGAGAATGAAGGACCTGAACCACTACTGCCCTCCCCTCACCGTTTGGCAGTCCCCTTCCAATTCCCTTAGGTTCAGTTTCTCAATCGCCTTACCAAAAAAGAGAGGAAGTGAAGAGTCGGAAGAAATTCTTTGGGCCCCTGGGGTCTTGGCGGGTTGAGATCACAGTGAGGCCGCAGGGGGAGACTGAAGGTGAAGAGGAGGGCAGCAGGCCCGGGACACCGGCGCTCAGGTGCTAGTGGCGAATGGGGAATCCCTGATCCCAGTGAATTCGCGCCAGGCGGACTCGCCACGCCTCCAAGCTGTGCGTTGGTCTTGTACTGGGCAGGAACTTTCCTCTAGAGCCAGGCAGGGACTCAGCGTAGGTACGCTTTGTTCCCCAACCCACACACATACTCTGAAGGGGCGGTACCGCACCCCTACATCCCCCAGTACACCCTCGCCATGTGTCTGTACCCGGGCACAGGTGGTCCAGCTTTCCTCACCAAGGACCCGGGGGACTTAGCGAAGCAAGATGTCCTCTGTCTTTAGGAAGGGGAGGACGCGGGTGGGAGCCTAGTGGCTCCCGCACAAAGCGCCTCCTTGGTGGGGAATTAGACCGCCCAGGCAGCAAGCTTAGGGAGGCACTGGGGGCCAGGCGGCCTGGGGTTCAAGAACCTCTGTTCCTGCGGCCAGGCTCCCAGCTCGGCCTGAAAGGGGTCTGACTGGGTCAGGGAAGGGCTCAGTGAGGAGACCCAGTCCTCCTCTCCACTGCTCCTCCATACACACCCGGGCGCCTCCGCCCACAGAAGCCCTGACTTCCTCACTCCATCCCCACATGCACGTGCACTGGGGCTGGGGCCCCACTGCCCAGGCCTGCCCACAAGAGACACCCAGGATTCCAGAGGGAGGCCGAATCTTATACCTCCAAGAGAGAACGTGAGAAAGGAAGAATAAAGGGTGCAGGAGAAAGGAGAAGACTGGAACACCCAAGAGTCGATACCTAGCTGGCTTGGAGCCGGGCGGTGCTCCCTGCAAGGCTCCCAGGAGCAGACAGGGAAGGGAAAGCTGCCAGAACGTCCAGAGTCTAGGCTCCGGAGGACTCTATAAGAGGCCTCCGACCTCTCCCAGGAGTGTGCTCACACCCAGGACCTCATCCATGGGCACTGGAAAAGGACTCCAGGACTGAGACTCGAGTTACTGGCATGGAAAGATGCCATTTGTGAAATGAAAAAATTAAAACGATGACAACAAACGAAGCCTGGCACGGTCCAGCAAGTGCTGCTTTTCCATTTTTGTCTGCACAGAAACTGGGGCCTCATCTGCAGCAAGCAGAACCGCTAGAGCTGGGGGTAGGGATGCAGTGTCCAGGCAAGCCGAGTGTTTGCGTATATTTCTGTTTATAATTTTTGTATATTACATGTATCTTACTCAAGTAATAAAAATAAACTTGAGAGAGCCAGAGAGGCAAAAAACTGAAGTGCAGAGTAGAGGTGGTGGCTGGGTGAGAGACAAGACTTTTGGGAAGCTTGGCGGATGGAGAGAGAGAGGGTCTGACCTGCTTGGCAGTCAGTAAGGAGTTCACTGCCACTTCCAAGGCCAGGCCGGGAGGAACAGTGCAGAGCTCATGGCCACCAGCAACATGGATTCCTTCAGCCGAGCTCAGTTCCACTGGGTCACACTTTCCCCAGGACCCTCCTGAAACCTCTTTCTCACTCCTTCCTCCTACATACATACACATTCCTACAGTCCTGTGCCCCAGGCCCACAAACTCTCAGCACCTACAGGTAGTCCACGCTGTTCTCCCTCTGAACACGCTGACTTAAGCCTTGGGCTCAATCCCACCTTTCCTGCCACCCACCCAAATCACTTTGTGGCTGCATTTCCCTTCCTTCCTTCCTTCCTTCCTTCCTTCCTTCCTTCCTTCCTTCCTTCCTTCCTTCTTTTCTTCCTTTCTTCCTTTCTCCCTTTCTCCCTCCCTTGTTTATTACCAGCAAGACCTCCCGACCTGCCCTTTTTACCCTCCCCTTTCCCTAGGTTCCATATCCTAAGTGGAGTAGTTGTTAATTATTCAATTAAATAATTGGTATGTGTCCCCCCCACAACCTCACCTTCTACCAGGAATATCTGGCATCGAAACAGGCAACCATTCACATGAACACTGTACACGCACTATGGTACTGACACACGCACACACTCATATAACTGCTTTCCCACTCACAGGGATAATGGAGGCTGCACCAGGGACACATGCAGCCATGCTACAGCCACGCTACAGCCACTTTCACGGGCATATCCACACCCGCTCTCATAGACCCCCTTAACCAGATTATTGGACAGACCGAAGCACCCTGCTCACGCCAGCAGGTCAAAAAAACGAAGGAAAGTCTGAGATTGTAGTGCTTTAGGGGAAGGGTCACAGGCCTTGTTGCGCGTGCACACATTTGCACACACACCTTCGTTCTCAATCTTTCGTCCAGGTCCCCTTCTGAGTCAAAGAAAGTCCCCTCCCAGTGCGTTGAGAGAGACACTAGGCTCGGGAGAGCGCCGGCCTCTCCAGTAAATGCTGGGGATCCGCACGCCTCGGGGAGGGGTACTGAGCCCCAGGATCCCAGCTGCTCAGCTCCTCACAGCCTGACCCTGCTACACTTCCAGTCTTGCTCACCTCCGCCCTTTACCTCTCCGCAGACTTGGAGAAGGCGGGACCCGGGACAGCGACACAGCGACAGAGCACGGGGAAAGCTCCGCGGAGGGAAACAAGGAAATCCCCACCTTCTATCCCTGTCTCGTGGTGCGGTCCCCTGTGACGGCCTCAGACCTGCGGGAAACCAGGACTTTGCCGCCTACCACGGTCAGCCTCGCTCTCGAGTCTCTGGGCGCCTGCACCCGGCTGTCTGCCTGTGCGCCTGTTCAGTGTCCCCCGGGGACGCGGGTGAGTCGATCTCCTTGCCTCACTTTCCCAGCCTCATTCGCCCACTCACGCCCTTGATCTTCCATGAGGGCCGGGGGAGGGGGTCCTCCGGTCTGTGTTCATGAGTGTGGGTGTGGGTATAAATCTAGGGGTTGGCGCACTGAGCCCAGGCCTGCGCCCCCGCCTCCAGCACCCCCACCGACCCCACCCTGCCAAGCCCCCGAGCAAGGCCAACCTCCTCTTCTCTGCTAGGTCTCGCCGAGGTCGCCTTCTTTGCGCACTTTGGTTATTGATCCCGCTGAATCCGCCGGAGCGCAGCGGCTGCGCTTCTGTGGGAACAAGGGAGTGGGGAGGTGAGTAAGCTAGGGGAACGGTGGAGGGGAGGAGAGATTGATCAACTTTAGGAGGGGTTGTAGGGCATTCCTCAAGGCCGCCCCATTCTCCCTCTGCCCGGTTTGGAGCAGGGCTAGACTACGGGTGGAGTGGGACCACCGCTCCCCTCCCCCTCCATCTCTCCCCCTGGCGCGGAGCCCCGGCGCAGCTGGGAGTCTAGGAACCCTGACTCCCGCCCAATCAGCGGCGAGGGGAGGAGCAGCGGCCAGGGGCGGGGCCAGAGGAGGAGGAGTCGGGCGGGGGCGTGAGGGGCGGGGAGCGGCGCTCACGACCAGCCTAGGCTGGCTCCTCGATAGTGGGGTTGGCAGTGGCGGTCGGCATGGGCGATGGGGGCGCCGAGCGCGACCGGGGCCCCGCGCGCCGGGCGGAGTCTGCTGGCGGCGGTGGGCGCGGCGGGGACCGCGGCGGAGCGGAGGACTTGCGAGCTGATGGCGGTGGCCACAGCCCAACGGAGGTGGCCCGGACCTCAGCCTCCAGTCCCGCAGGCTCCAGGGAGAGCGGAGCCGACAGCGACGGGCAGCCCGGGCCCGGCGAGGCAGACCACTGCCGCCGCATCCTGGTGCGAGGTAAGGGGACAGCCCGTGGCCCTACTCCACTGGACCCTCACCCTACCCATACTGGGGCCCCCGACCTTCTTGCAGGTGACATCTCCCAATTCATATATTCATTTATTCGTCATCCAGTCATTTATTCAGCAAATATTTTGAGCGTCTATTGTGTGCTGGACATTGAGCTGAGTGAGGGGACAAAGCAGCGAATGGGACCGAAGCGGTCCCCGTTTCTCCGCCTCTCGGTCCAGTCCCCTAGTCGTAGGCCCACCCGGGACCTCTACTGTGGCGGGGGCAGAAATGGAGTGCCGGATGCTGAGAGCCTGGTCTCTGTCCCGTGACCCTCAAGCAAGTGCGGAGAAAAGCGTCACGCGCGCTCCGCGGGGACAGGACGTGGAGAGAGCAGCGTCGGCAACCGCGGGAGGAAAAGGCCCTGGCTCTGCAGGGCGGCCGGGGTGCTTCCTCCCGTCCTGCTCAGCCGCGTTTCCCATCCCCGGCAATCCGGACCCGCACGGATTGCCCGGGGGAGATGGCGCGGGACGCGGAGAGTGGCGTGCGCGGCGCTCGCCAGCTGTGCTTCACTCTCTCGCTTCCCACTTCCTCGCGGCGCCTGGGCCCAGCCAGCTCTCGGCGCCGCCTTCCCGCGGCCTGGCCTTCACGTCCTTCCCTTTCTCCCTTGGCTTTCGTCCTCCTCTCTTCTTTCCCGGCCATTCCTCTCAGCCGAACGCGTCTTCCCGGCACCTTCTTCCTGCAAGCGCCTCGATCTGGACTGCGACCGATTACCCAGCTCTTCCTGGCCTCCTCGCCGCGAGGCCGAGGCTCCCCAGGCCCCCAGCGCCAGCCTTTCGCAGTGCCGAGGGCTCCGCTTTCCCAGGATCTGGGCCTTGCCCGGCGAGATGGGAGGAGAAAGGGGACTCCAGGGTCTTGCCCTCAGCCCGACCGCAGGTCGCGGCCAGAGACTGAAGTCCGTTGCCTCCTCCACCCCAAGCCCTGCGACCGGGAGACCCAGCGCCAGAAGAGGCCACTGGCGGTAATGGCTCCCCCAGGCTCCTTCCTGGGCTCCCTCCTCCCGGCTTCCTCCCGCTGCCTCTTTCCAGCCTCTTCACACGCGCCGCTCGGGAGAGCCTCTGGGCCTCTGGAGGCCACTGTCCCGAGCTGATTTCTTTGGCCTCCGCCTGGGGAAAGGGAACAGGCTGGAAGCTGGCCCTGGGTCGTTCCAGCGAAGGGATTCTGTTTGGTCTGAGCTCGGCTACCCTCAAGCTGACTGGGACACCCTGGGCCAGTTGGGTACGACCTCTCTGCGACTGCTGGGTGTGGGTGGCTCTGAGGACTGGAGTGCAGAGCATGAAGGCAGCCCAGTGTGAGGGTGACTGATGACTGCCTTGAATACAGAGGTAGGGGCCCTAGCTCTGGGAAACATTGCTGGTGCCAGATGTCACTGGGACAGTGGGTGCTCACTGCCACTCATAGTTGACTGCTTAAGTCAAGGCAGTTATACCATCAGGAATTCTAGCAGGTGTATGGACCTGTTGGGCACCAGGGATTAAATCCGGTTTTGTTCTTTAGACTGTGGGGTGTCCTGAGTGAAGGCATAAGCAGCCCTTTTGGTTCCTTTAAAAAAATCTGTAGGACTGCCAGAGAACTCAGTCCCCCAATCCCACACATTCCCAGGGGAAGATCTAAAGTCCCTGCCTGTGGCACTCATCACTTTGAACCCCACCTATGGGTGGGCATTTTCTTCCCCCCAGGACAATTGTGAGTTCTGTGCCCACCTAACACCCTCTCTGCCCTACTAACCCTTTATGTAGAGCAAATAAGTTTTGTGTACAGATGTCAATTAAATAGCCTTCAGGGGTAAACTAATAGGAAGTGGAATTCAAAAGTGACCCTCCAGCCTGTGAGGTGGGGCCACCCAAGCTGGAGCAATCCACAGTCAGGCAGAGATGGGCTTGCACTGGATGTAAGACAGCCTGTGTGAGTCTTCAGGGGGTGTACTTTTTATAAATGTATGTGCACACACAGAGGTGCCATTGCGTTTGTAAAATATAATCAAAATATTAGATATAAAGCATAGAGGATATATTTACACACGTAACAGAAATGAAAGGCAAGTGTGGCTTTTATAAATCCCTCTGCCCTTCCCCATTTAATGATGGGGAGGTTATTATGGGCCTGAAACGCTCAGGATGTGATTTACCACTAATCTCTCCTAGCCAGGGTCACCTGAGTCACTGGCAGTCCTGCCATGGCTCAGGGCTCTGATCAATGAGACAGGCCTGGACTGGTGAAGGAAAGTCTGAACTGCCTTGGCCCCTGAATGAACATCCCTTCCATAGGCCTTCAATACACTTTTCCCTTGACCTCTGAGAACACATCCTCCCAAAGAATCTGTGGAAGGAAACCACTAAAAGGTAAAAGGGAGGCATTTGCACTTGCTGTCCTGTGTCAATGTTGGGTTGGGTCCTCCTCAGGACCTCGCCTTTCTTGGGGAGGCCTTCTGGGTCCTTTCTGCCTCCTTTCATTCTGCACTCCTCCACCTAAGAGCCTACCACAGGGGAGCAGGTTTGTTGAGGGAGTCCTTTGGCACAGGGAGTAGGAGGAGAACTTGGGCGCCAGAGTTAAGCAAAGTTGGTTTAGATTACTGACCTTATAGCCCTTTAAACCTGAACCAATTTCTTTGTTTCTCTTTGCTTGCCTCCTCATCTTACAAAGGGACCCATAGCCCTTACCTTAAAGGACTTGCCAAGAATCAGAGGTGATGTCTAAAACTGCAAACACCCGGTAGGATCTCCATAAATATTTGTTGACAGAAGGAAGGGTGTAGCTCTGAGGTTAACCACTTTTGATGGGTGGGGCAGTGGACCTTTGTTGTTTGAGGCCTCTCCCAAGTCACCCCTTTCCCCCTCCTTCTGGCTCTGGCCCAGGGTCTGGGCTGTACTGGGAGGTGAGCACCTAGGGGTCAAGAACACACTGATGGTAAAATAAAATCAGCACCATCTTGCAGACCACACAGTGCGGCCCTCCCCAATCTCCTTGGTGGGAACCTTTTGGGACCAGTGACTCAAGCCTCTGCCAATGCAGGGTAGGGAGCCAGGGAGGCCAAATGTGATGCCTCCCGTGCATCAAAATGAAGGCTCTTTCCCGTCACACAAGGGCACGGACCGGAGCTGCTGAGATGATAGGCCGGGCGCACAACAGGCACCCCGCACATCGCACCGCGGACACAGCGAGCCTCCCATTCGGACCCTAAGGCCCGAGAAGGCCGCTCCACACCTCCGCGTGCACAGTCCCTAGACCAGTGAGGGCGGGGACGGAGGAATCCTTTTGTTTTATATTGGAAACCGCACACCAAAGGCAGGCAGGAAGCAACCAAAGGAACAGGCCGCTTGAGTCGTGGCTCAAACAGCACAGGGCAGTGGCCGAGCACCAGCCTTTTCGGTGGAGCTGGGATCCCAGCAGGCAGAAGAGGTGGACAACTCTGACCCCAGACTCCCTACGACCCCACGATCAACGCTCGCACCTGCACACTCAAACGCACCTGTTTCCCAAATTAATCCGGACGCGAATTTAACGACCGATTTTGATAGATCCGGGAAATTCTGTCCACCAACACAGCAACTTTTACAGACAATGCGTAGTGTCCATTCCTGCTCACCCAAAGCGGCCTCTCTGGGCTGAGAGCCACCACTGTGGGTCCTCAAACCCCACTCGAAACCCTCCGAACCCCTCTGTCTGGGAGCGGTAGGGCGTGATGACTGCAGGATCCCTTGAAGAAGCCACTCGCTGCAACCCCACCACCAGCAGCAAAAACGCTTTCACCTGGGAGCTGAATGGATGCGCGGATGGCTGGGGGCCGTGAGGGGACTCGTGAAGCCCAGGCCTCTTGCTTGGGCTGGGCGATGCCCGCCGTGGGACGGGTGGGATTGACCTTAGTGGAGTCCAGCCCCTCGGAGAATCTGCGGGCAGCCGGGACCCACGCTCCAGAAACACGCAAGTCCAAACTCGTACACACAGCACAATGGCGTGCAGCCGCTGGGGCCCTATCTCCCAGTGGCGCGTTTGAAGAAGCCGTGCAAGGGGGTGCAGCTTCGGGGCTCTGGCTGGCAGGTTACTGCAGGGACAGACGCCTCGCCTCCAGCAGCCGGGTCCAGGCTCATGGCCGGCCGGCCTCTGCTCGCTTTCTGCTTGGATTTCCAGCAGCCACTGGGCTTGGGGAGATCGGCCCTGGCCGCAGGCCTAGCCCTGCTGCGCAGGCGTTTAGCAAGGACCATGGGACTTTCGTCTCAATATCTGAGTCTGTTAATAGACCTGATAACCCAGGACCAGCACACCAGGCAGACGTGGAAAAGTGTAAATGGCTCATGCAAGGAACTACACTTTGAGATTTTTGTACTTGTTTTTATTTTTTGGTTTTAGCTTTTGTAGAGGGTTTCTTTTTTTGTTTTGTTTTCTTGGAGTTGCTTTACGTTATTTTTCCCTTTTACTTGTTTTCGGCAGGAGGCCCACATTCCCTTAGTGGGTCTATGCCAGCAGGCCCTCTCATTTGGGTCTTCTTTTGTTTTCCCCCTTCCATAACCCTCACCCCCACAAACACACACTGAAGCAGACCAGCAACCCGAAAAATCATCTTGTAGTTGTGTCTTGTGTGCCCAGTTTTCATTTTCAGGGAACCGTTCAGGAAGATTAGACAGCTCCTTCCCTCCTCAGGCGATTTCTGTTCCCCTTCTGGTCTGGTAGACCCAGGAACCCATGGAACCGCCACCGCATCCCCCGCCCCACACACCCGCCTCTTCAGGAACGGTCCCCCAGGTAGCTTCTGGGGAGTCCGAGGGGCAAGGAAGCCAAATTCTTTGGAAGTCCAGACAGTGAGTGGGTACCTGGGGCTACAGAAAAGGGAAGAGATGGCAGTGGCATGCACCCGCAGTCAGTCAAAGCCACCGGGCTCAAGTCCTCCTCTTTTGTGCACCATCTGTAAGGAGACAGGGTGTCTATACATCATGTTGGCCTGGGTGCCATTT